AAAAATCCACCTGAAAACTTAATCAGTGCAGTCAGTTCATCCAGATTACCATCCGTTTCAGCATTTCAAGTTAATTTAGGTGTTAATAAACTATTTCAGAGGAGTGATCACATCGCTCTCAGCGTCTCTGATTGGTTGATGCGGTGCGCCACGCGAGTCAGAGGCTTAAACTCCCCCGACGCACTGCTTCAGCTGCTCAGATGCACCATTGACTTTGCATGTAAACTCGCTGCTTCTGCTGCGCCTGCTGCGTCCAGTGTGAACGTAGCATAAGGAGATGAGAAGTGAGCCAGAACTGAACCACGTCGAGCCCTGCTGTTGAACTAGTACCAGTTTAGCGCGGTTCGGCCGTGTCTGGCACGGTCCGGTTCAGTTTTGCGTGCCATTTACAGTCAAAACTTATTTCGGTTATTTTTGCACAGTTTTAAAAGGATAGTGTTTATGGGGCTATGGTCATATCGTCTCTGATCAAGGTCAACTTCCTTGATTTTATATAGATAAATAATTACTTTATCAGTTTATTTGTGATGTCCATTAACAGAAAACAAAAAAATTTTAACTCAAAATATATACTAGCTTGTTTTTTCAGTTTTTTTTATTTTTTAGATTACACTTTAAAATGATAATATTTTTATTTGTAGTCTTTCAGCAGAGTGTGTCTTGGGGATTTTAAAAACCCTTAGACTCATTTTACATAATATATTTATATTTTTTTTCAAATCCACACATTTTAAATGTTTAGTATTCGGGGGTTAAACACAAGTACCAAACCTAATGCCAATTAATATATATAAAAAATTGAAATGACATATTAAGGGATATAAAACATATAAAAGAACTTCTGAAAATGCATCTTTGTTAGGCAGGATTTCCATCATGGGTCTTAAATGGCAAAGAATATTATTCATCATAGCAACAGATGAAAAAAAATGCAAAATTACCTGTCTTTAAATTTAACGAATAAATGAGGCCTGCAGACTACAAGTTAAAAAAAATATTCTGCCATTGCCAACTGCTTAGATATAAATTTTAAATATCTCAATTTACCCCAAAATTCCTAGGGCTATTGTTTAGAAGTATAAATACACACCTGAAGCCATTAGTAATACTTTTTTAATTTTAAAGTGTCAGCCAGCACCTTGCTACTTCATGTCAGTCTCATGATATCCCAGCTCCTGTTAGATAAATGGTTTTGCCTTTGTTAGTTCGGGAAATGCTGGCTGCATTATGTTGAATGGGAAGGTCGCCAAGCACAAACTCATGGGGTGTCAACATATTTCAAAGTATCTGACATAAGTAGCTTGGGGCTATAATTACTGTAATAAAGTAATATCATTCTCGGAAAGCTTAATTTGTGTTTCAGTGGTTCTGCTTACTGCTCAGAAAACCAATATCCTGCTCCGCAGAAGATAACAGTCAGAGTGACCTCACTTTGGAGAAAAAGATATTAAAATCAAGCTAACAAGAGCTCAGAACATAAACCCTCAAAGTTTGAACTCTGTCATCTTAATTTTTAAAGCAAACAACAAAAAAATAAGTCCAGCAAACTATTTAAATAAAATTGAACTTCTTGTCATTTTTCTGGAGGTAAATATTTACTTTGTAGCTGTTTTATCAACCAGATGATTGTGTTTCTCAGTGATTTACCAGCAGTAGCTTTTTTGTGGCCATTGACTGATTAGTTCATTATTTGTCAAGATAATATTAAAAGTGCTACAAGAATGAAAGTCAGTCAACCTAGAAGGTGCTGGATTGGGAGTCTTTCTACTGTAAGTGCATGTTCCTCCCATGCATGTGCAAGCCCCCTTCAGGTACTCTGTCCTCCCTATAAAGTCCAAAAGTATTAA